CCCCCCCCCCCCCCCCACCCCCGCCCCCACCGCCCGCGCCGGTTGCCGGTCCCACGCCGACGCCGCCTGCATTAGCGGCGCCGCCGCCGCCGCTACCACCACCGCCACCGCCTCCGCCGCCGCCTCCGGCGCCGCCGGCGTTACCGTTGTTGGCGCCCACATACGTCGGCCTCGGTCCATTCGTATTCTGAAAATCGAAAAGATCTCGGTTAAACGGGACTCTGCGAATCTCTCTCTTATTTTCATCGTTCCTAAGCAAATAATTACAACAATATAATTACGGCAATGAAGAAGTATTACAAGTATAGAGTAAAGAAATGTGTAGGGCTTAAAAAATTCAATTGAACGGGACTCTTTTTCTACTCGTTTCAGATGAAATTGTAAATTTTAGTGCACCCCCTAACGCCGAAAATATATTTACAGTCACGAATTATACATAAAAATATACATTTTTACAAAGTTATTTTTAGAGTAGTAACGAAGAAGTTATTTGAACAAAATGGCTTTCTAACAACAATTGACGATTGAAAGGAAATAGGAAATATAAACATAATCTATGCTATCAGTTCTGGTGCAATACCGTTGTTTGAAATAACTCGTTAAGATCATCAAGTATCAAGTACATATTATACGTCAATGCTTTTATCAGCAAATTCTCTTGTTTGAGTTTCAACAGTTGGACAATAATGCGCTCTTATCGTAATAAGTCGATCGACTATCGTTGCCACGTTAATTTATCTCTAGGAATAAAGGAAAACATCCTCAATTTAGTAATCTTAAAATTGTCGCTGCTTTTATATAATCAATTATCAGGAACAATAATTTAATGAGCATAATGTATTATTTTTCGTTGGTAAAATAACGTAAGAAGCAATTTTCAAAAAAATAACAGAAACGCTTGATATTCATCTAGAATTGCTGAAAAAGTGGTACATAACACTCAAAATTTCTCTATAATTTTTCCTTCAATTAAAGAACTGAAGCGCTTAGATAAAAATATTCTCTAATCCCTAATGATTTAAGTATAAACTTGATTTAAAATGTATGTAAAGTTATAGAATTCATAAATTCACAATTGTAAATACATTCGATTAATAAAAAAAGACAATTTGCTTTCAATTTTTTTCTCTCCTGACGTCACAGTCAATCGCGACTGCAGTGACCGGACCTTTAATATCGATGCAACCATTGCGTCAGTCGTCTATCGATTTTCTCGAACGAAACGGCATACTATTTTAGAAAGCGATCGCGTTTCGCCGGCTCCATAGTTTCCCGCACACGTCGATAAGAAGAAGAGAGAAAGACTCTATCCGTTATCGTTTATCAGTGACCTCGCGCGGTCACGCCTTTCCGATAACAAGAAAGAACGGCCGTTCTCTACCTCGCTCTCAGTCTCTTCGAATGCTTCATTCTCACGAGCATCGGGATGTACCTTTCTAACAGCATTCAGGAGCGCTAGTGTCAACCGCGTATCTATCGATGTCGCCAAGTCCATATCACTTATCACGTAACTTTTTTTTATATTTTTAACATTACCTATATATCTCCTTCGAAAAAAGTTGTATCAAAACGAGATCTTTGTGAAATTGACTAAAAAAAAAAAAAAAATACGTTATTTCATTTATATTCCTCCAAAGTTTGCTCCTTAAACAGATCTGCGTCATTAATTGCGCGAAGAGTCGCGGTATATATGGCTCGATATTTACGTGTAAAAAAAGATCAATTCATAACTGCTAAAAATCTATGATTCCAAGTGCACTTCGGGACACCCTACGTGTAGTTGGAATTCGTGACGCATCGGCGGAGCGATATAAAATCAGACAGCGGGATGATTCGACTGTGGTAAGACCATCGAACGATCGAACAGTCACACGGCATGACGCAGCCCTCAGCAACAACGAAATGCACGATATCGTATGATCCGGTCAGAGAAAGAGAGAGAGAGACAGACCGCCGACCGGCCGACTGATCGACCGACCGGATGTCACTTCCTGCTCACTTTGTCTGTCCCGCGCATCGTTCTAACGCGAACTCTACTCGCCCATTCTTTCTTCATCTCGCTCAGTCTTCGGTTCTCCTTTCCGAGTTGGCATTTTCGTCGCTTAGTGCAATGCATCCACGCTGCGTTATTCCCCTTCGTCGATGTTTATCCGCATCTTAATAAGCTTGCATACAGAAAAATACGTACTGATCGCAAGTAATAATTACGTATTTCAAATATATTTTAAAAAAGCATGTATCTACAAATCTGTCATAAATTCATCACAAGCATCAAATTAGCGAATTTAATCCTACACTGAGAAAAAAATATAGTTGATTTTAATAAATATTTAGTTCAATACTGCCAACTAAACATTCACTTAGTGTAAATAAATATTTGTTCAGTAAAAAAAAATAATTGTTAAATCAAATTAATATTTCTTGTATCAAATAAATATATCTTTATATTTAATAAATATTTAGTTGGCAGTATTAAACTAAATTTTTATTAAAATTGACTATATTTTTTTTCAGTGTAGTGAATTTAATCCTGAATAAAGATTATTAAATTAAAACAAATTTGATGTGCTTACTATATAAAATATTAATCTTCCTCGATCAATTTTATAATACGTGTATTCTTCAAAGATTAATTTTTGACTACTCCAAAAGTAAAATAACTATTTTTTTTGTATGACACAAGACGTCAGGAAAATTAGCCAAAAATAGTGCAATTTTTTTTCTATTGTATCCCGAGATAAATCAGTTTTTTTCTTTGATGATATAACGCTTCTTAATGACTGTACATATTGTAACAAAATTCAGGTCGCCCGCTGACCTTACTTCTCATTATCGCACTTGTAAGCAGCCAGGATAAGAGGGCGGGGATTCTAACGACATACCGCTTCTCTATATCGTTTCCATTTTATAATACATCACTTATACCGTGAGATGCGAGAAATGAGCGAGCGCTTTTATCATATCGGCGTACATTATCGTGGCGTGGTCGCTAATTGGATGCGCTCCGCCAGCGTGTATCTCGCGCTTTCTTCTAAGGACGACGAGAGGGATAGATCCAGGATGTGCGCCACATACCGGAGAAATATACCTACGGACGCGTCACGCTCTATTAGCGAGCGGACACGCGCCCGTGATACCTCGGAATGTACGTTTTCGGTCTTTCTTTGCTGTTATTTTAGAGAAATTCTCACCACGCGTCTCGTGTCGCACGGCACCAAATGGTGATCGCAGCCGATTTGGATTCTTCAATTCAAGATACAATATACTATAAATTTGCATATAAAATTCAAATTATGTATAAATAACTTGGTAATTTCTAAGAGAATCTTAATTTTTTTATAAAAACGATTTTGTCGTTGAATATCGCGCGTATAATTTCAACAATATTTTGATTATTGCTCGTAGTTTCCATCATTAAAGTATTACTTGCAATTATACTTAATAATTTCTAAAAAAACGCCGGCAATATCGTTCCCAGGACGAAGATTAATCTTGTAAACATCGCGAGGGGATCGCGGACACCCGGTGTGTCGTCGCGTATTCCTCCAAGGTGAAGAAACGGTATGCGCGGTATGCGCCGCCGCGCCGCGCCGCGCACTCGCGCGTACGAGAAGGAACTCTTTCGCGCGCAGGCAAGCAGATGTACGAGTGGTGCAGTCGCATCAACTGCATTTTTCCGCGACTCAAGCTTACTGTCCGTCCGAGAGTAACTCTCTTTCCGGAATAAACAAAATAAGAAAACAACAACGCGCGCCATACGCACGTTAAAACGTCTGATTAAACGACCAAACAAACAAACGTTTAAGAGAATTCAATTCAATTCGCGGTCAGCGGACCGATTTCCTTCCTTAATTGAATTCGAGAAAGCCGAAAGGTATCGGAATGCGCATCAAAACGACCAAATCAAACCGTGGAGATAAAATCGTGTCAAATTATAAACTCATCGTGAATTTTTATTGTATTTATATCTTCCGATTTTAATTAACGTAGACTTGACATTCGCTCTCGACGTCAAAATTAATTCTTCGTCGGTTAAGGAGGCAAAAGTGGGCTGCATCTCGCGCGTCAGGCTGCATCAGGCACTCTCGCAAATGGCTATAATTCACCGCCGTTTACATACGCACGGACACATACGGACGCGTACGAACATCCGTCCTCGAAGGCGCGCACCGCTCGAGGCTCGTAATCGAATCGAGCGAGAGTGTCGCGTCGCGGCGTCGCGTCGCGTCGCCGACGAGGAGGAGCGGCGTGCATCGCCGCCACGGGAAGGAAAGCTATGCACGTTGCCCGCGTTTCTCGAACGGCACGTACTATCTACGTGAGCGGTGGCATGAATGCGCGCGCGGCTGCTGCATTGCCCGCCCGTATATACGCAACTCGCGGAACGAGGCGAGAACGCAACGCGTAACACGAACGCGAACGGATGCGACATTGACTAACGATCGATCGATCGATGGAGTTGGGCGGTAAGGGGACAATTAATCCTTCTAAAGATTCTTAAGACAATGTTTCATTTGAAAATAGTTTTAACGACAATAATGTCGATAAAAGCTTTCAACAAGAGTGTCATTTGCATTGATCAGTAAACAAGTAACAAGTTACTATTAGCAATATTTCAAGCTTTCTTCTATTCTCTAAATCCACACTGAGAAAAATGGACGAATCAGAATTTTCTGGTTATGTTTATTAGAATTCTAGTTGTGATAACTAGAATTCTGATTAATATAATTATTCTGGTAAAAATACGAATTCTAGTAGATTTTACTAGAAATATAGTATCAACCAAAATTCCGGTTATCTCAACT